AGCTCACACCTGCAATCCCAGCATGCTAGGAGGTCAAAGCAGGTGGATCACCTGAGATCAGGAGTTTGAGACTACCATGGCTAACATGGTGAAACTCTGTCTCTACTAAAAATACAAAAATTAGCTGGGCGTGGTGGTGGGTGCCTGTAATCCCAGCTGTGGGAGGCTGAGACAGGAGAATTGCTTGAACCTGGGAGGCAGAGGTTGCAGTGAGCCAAGATCACACCATTGCTCTCCATCCTGGGCGACCAGAGTGAGCCTCCATCTCAAAAAAATAAATAAGATAAAATGAGTTAGAGGAATAGCTTCAGAGAGATAAAGAGGAATATTAGAAATATGAAGCAATAATAAGCTAGAGATAATGGTTATGAAAAACATAGTAACTGAAATGAACTTAGTAGATATAGGTTGACTAACAGATTGCATACCATCACATACCAAAATAGTAAGGTAGAAATTAAAATTACTTGGAGAACTCTCCCAGAAAGTTATCTGGAAGCAATAAAGAGATGGAAAATGTAGGCCGGGTACGATGGCTCATACCTGTAATCCTAGCACTTTGGAAGGCTGAGGTGGGCAGACCACGAGGTCTGGAGTTCAAGACCAGCCTGACCAATATAGTGAAACCCCATCTCTACTAAAAATACAAAAAATTAGCCAGGCGTGGTGGCATGCCCATAGTCCCAGCTACTCAGGAAGCTGAAGCAGGAGAATGGCTTGAACCCGGGGGCAAAGGTTGCAGTGAGCTGAGATTGTGCCACTGCTCTCCAGCCTGGGTGATGGAGTGAGACTCCAAAAGAAAAAAAAAAAGAGATGGAAAACATAAAAGATAAAATATATGCAGCAAACTCTGATAACAATACCTAACAACTTTACAAGAAAAAAGAACTACAGATAAATAAATATCCTTCATAGACATAGATGAAAACTCCAAAACAAAATATAAGTTAATTGAATCCAATTATGTAGAGATAGTATAAAACATGTGAGTTTATTATAGTTGCAGGATATGAAATCAAAATACAAAAATTGTACTTCTGCATCCTAGCAATGGAAAATCCAAAATTAAATAATTTCATTCAAAATCACGTCAATGTCGGTGCCGTGGCTCATGCCTGTAATCCCAGCACTTTAGGAAGCTGAAGTGGGCAGATCCCTTGAGCCCAGGAGTTTGAAACCACCCTGGGCAACATGGTGAAACCCCATCTCTACAAAAAGTACCAAAAAAAATTTAGCTAGGCATGGTGGCATGCACCTGTGGTCCTAGCTACTGGGGAGGTTGAGGTGGGAGAATAGCTTGAACCTAGAAGGTCAAGGCTGCAGTGAGCCATGATCGTGCCATGACACTCCACCCTAGGTGGCAGAGGGAGACCCTGTCTCACATCAAGAATAAAATGTTTAGGAATGAATTTAGCACAAGATATGTAAAAACTTGTACACTAAGGCCAGGCGCAGTGGCTTACACCTGTAATCCCGGCACTTTGGGAGGACAAGACGGGAGGATCACAAGATCAGAAGTTCAAGACCAGCCTGGCCAACATGGTGAAACCCCATATCTACTAAAAGTACAAAAACTAGTCGGGTGTGATGGTGGGCACCTGTAATCCCAGCTACTCGGGAGGCTAAGGCAGGAGAATCCCTAGATCCTGGGAGGGAGAGTTTGCAGTGAGCCAAGACCAGGCCATTGCACTCCAGCCTGTATGACAGAAGACTCAGTCTCAAAAAAACAAAACAAAACAAAAAAAACCTTGTACACTGAAAACTACAAAGCATTGTTAAGTTAAAGACAATCTAAATCGATGATATTTAATTTTCATGCATAAGACACAATGTTGTTAAGATGACAATCCTCCCCACACTTACCTGTATATTCCACACGATCCCTATCAAAATCCCAACAAGTTCTTTTGTAGAAATTTACAAGCTGACACTAAGTTTATACAGAGATGCCAACAACCAAGAATAGCCAACACAATTTTCAAAAGAAGAGAAAGTTGCTAGCCAGGTACAGTGGCACATGCCTGTCATCCCAGCTACTCGGGAGGCTGAGGCAGGAGAATCGCTTGAACCTGGGAGGCAGAGGTTGCAGTGAGCCAAGATCATACCACTGCACTCTGGCCTGAACAAAAAGAAGAAGAAGGAGGAGGATGTGGGGAGGGGGAAGAGGATGCGGGGAGGGGGAGGAGGAAGGGGGACAGGGAGGAGGAGGAAGAAAGAAGAAAAGAAGGAGGAGAAGAAAGGAAGAAGAAGAAGAAATAGAAGAAGGAGAAGAAGGAAAAGAGGAGGAAGAGGAGGAGGAGGAAGAAGAGAAGAAGAGGTAGAAGTGGAGGAGGAGGAGGAGAAAGTTGGATTTACTATAAAGTTATAATAAGAGTGTGGTGTTGGTGTAAAGATACACATATAGATCAATGACACAGAATATAAGGTCTAGAAATAAATCCTTATCTTTTTTGTCAATTGATTTTTTTTAAATACCAAGACAATTCAAGGAAAAAGAATTGTCTTCAACAAACGGTGATTGGACAATAAGATATCCACGTGTAGAAACTTAAACCATTACCTTGTCCATCCATATGCTTAGTTCTACCACATTTGATCCACAGTTGGTGGAACCACAGATGTGGAACTGTGGATGCAGATGGCAGATGTAGGACTTGAGCATTAATTGGATCTGTGGTGGTCCTGTAACCAATCCCCTGCAGATACAGAAGGATGACTCTAGTTACAAAAACCAACTCAAAATGGATCATAGACCTAAATGTAAAAGCTAAAACTATAAAACTTCTAGAAAATATAGGCGAAAACCTTTGCAACCCTGGGCTAGGCAAAAAGTTATTAGTGTGACACAAAAAGCACCATTCATTTAAAAACTGAGAGGCCGGTCGCAGTGGCTTACACCTGTAATCCCAGCACTTTGAGAGGCCACGGTGAGTGGATCACCTGATGTCAGGAGTCTGAGACCAGCCTGACCAACACGGTGAAACCTCGTCTCTACCAAAAATACAAAAAAATTAGCCAGGTTTGGTGGCGCGTGCCTGTAGACCCAGCTACTTGGGAGGCTGAGGAAGGAGAATCACTTGAACTGGTGGGGTAGAGGTTGCAGTGAGCAGAGATTGCACCATTGCATTCCAGCCTGGGTGACAAGGGTGAGATTCTGCCTCAAAAAATAAAAATAGATAAACTGGATTTAATTGAAGTGTAAAACTTTTGCTCTTCTAAAGACACAACTAAGAAAAGGAAAAGCCACAGACTGGGAGAAAATATTTCCAAACCATACAAGGAATTGGTATTATGTATTCATTGTATCAATTATCCAGAAATTTGGCAGTTTAAAACAAGAAATATTGATCCTCTCACACAATTTCTGAGTGTCTGGAATCTGGGTGCAGTTGTTGGCCAGAGCTGCAGTCATGTAAAGCTGGACTAGGACTAGAGAATCTTCCTCCAAACTTACTCATATGCTGTTGACAAGCTGAAATTCCTTGCTGGTTATTGGCTAGTGCATTAGTTTGCCAAGGCCACTATAATGAAATAGCACAGACTGAGTGGCTTAAACTTATTTTCTCACAGTTCTAGATGCTAGAACTCCAAGACAAGTTGTCACCAGTCTTGTTTTTCTCTGGGGCCTCTCTCGCTGACATGCAGTCGGCCACCTCACTGTATCATCATATAGTCTTTTCTCTCTGCAGACCTCCGTGGTGTCTCTTTCTGTGTCTAAATTTCCTCTTCTTATAAAGATATCAGTCAGATTAGATTAGGGCCCACCCTAATGGTCTCATTTTAATGAAATCACCTTTAATGGTCCTATCTCCAAATATAGTCACAGTCTGAGGTATTGGGTATTATGGAGTTAACACACGAATTTGAGGGGACACAAATTCAGCCTGTAAGAGCCAGTAACTTCGGCCCCCTGCCACATGGGCCTCTTGGTACTCACAACCTGGCAGCTTGCTTCCCCCAGAGTGAATGATCTAGGAAGGAGAATAAAAGAACAAGAGCCTAAGGGAGAAATCACAGCCTTTTTTCAAACCTAATCTTAGAGGTAACACTTCCGTTGTATGCTATCAGTAACTCACACTAATCCTGCGATGATGTGGCAGTCTACACCTTGGTCTGAACACTTGAACATGGGGGCGAGGTGGGAAAGGGTGATCATTGAACATATCGGTGCTTGTCTACCACAAACCTATATCCATAATATATGAAAAACGACTACAATTTGATAATAAAAGACGTCAATTAAAAGTGTGCAAAAAATAATTTGAATAAACATTTCATTAAAGAAAATATATAAATGGCCAGTTGGCACATGATAAAATGTTCAACATCATTAGTCATTAAAGAAACGCAAATTAAATTCACAACGACATCTACAATCAAATAACTGATAATACCTATCATGTTCTCTGAGAGAATCTGGCAGAATGCTGGGAATGGGGAACAGCCTGACGTAGGCTGTTACACAGAAAGAATGGGAAAAAAAGTTCATGCCCACTTTCCTACTTGAAACCCATCAGGATTCCCAGTTACTGTATATATTGAGTTTGTGTCCGTCGCTGCTAGTTGATTCCCATGTATAATCTCATAATCTTCGCAATGATACTAGGAGATTTGTATTACTAATACCATGGTCCTTAAGTTACAGCCTTAAGAAACTACAGCTTGGAAAGACTTAGCGTCAGGTGTGTCCTCCACTTTCATTCAAGATTGGATTTAATCTTTAACAGATTAGAGTGGGCTTTCCCATTTCGAGAGTCTACGGGTTTTACTTCTCTCCCTCCGCTGGGCTCCTCTACTCTTCACACCCAGTAGGGCGTGAAACGTGGCCTAGGGTGTGGCCCAGGAGGTTTCCCTAGAGGAACGGTGGGGCGGAACCCAGGCGGGAGGCGGGAATCCCAGTGGGCAAGCCGCGCAGTTTACTCAAGTTCCTCCGAACAATCTGGCAGGTCCGCCGCAGAGCCGTAAAGAGCTCTACAAGTCGTGAAGTGGCGAGGCGCAAAAGCGTTGCTTTACGGCGATTCGAGTTGTCGCGTCAAGCAGGCTATTCCGGGCGTTTGGCTGCTTGTCTCCGCACGTGGGCCGCTGTAGGTATTCCGGCCGGTAATTCCTCCTGTTGGTGTGCAGCAGCCACGCTGAAGGACAGAGTGGCAGTAGAGGCCAAGGATCGTGAGTTGATGGAGTTTGCTGCTGAAAATGAAGGGAAGTCTGGGGGAGGTCTCCAAAGTGTAGCTGAGGGGGTGCGGCTAAGTCCAGAGTCTGGGAGGGAGGGAGTCAGGGACTTAGCAGGGGCGGAGGAGGCCGGCGGCGGGGAGGAGGGGAAAGGACTGACAGGGATGAAGAAGATAAGGGATGGAGAGGAAGGAAGTGGACAAAGGCCAGTGGAAATACCAATGGACCTAACGGTAGTGAAGGAGGAAATTATGGACTGGCCAGATACCGCAGGCAGGTTGGCTGGCCAGTGGGTAAAACAGGAGGTGGAGGATAGGCCTGAGGTGAAGGATGAGAACGCAGGCGTATTGGAGGTGAAGCAGGAGACGAATAGTAGTTTAGTGGTAAAAGAAGAGAAAGTGGATGACCCAGAGGTAAAGGAAGAGAAGGTGAAGGAAGAGGTAATGGACTGGCCAGAAGTGAAGGAAGAGAAGGATAACTTGCAGATAAAACGGGAGAAGTTTGTTGGTCAGTGCATAAAAGAGGAGGTGATGGATGGAGAGTGTGTAAAAGAAGAGAAGAAAGAAGCCGTGGATGACACAAAGGTGAAAGAAGAGCGTCCAATAAATCACCTGGTGGGCTGCAAGCGGAAACTGGCCATGTCAAGGTAGGGCAGGGGGAATTCCATTTGGGGATATAAAGCTGTTGCGTCCTCATGTCTAGAGTGAAAGGAAACACCACCCTATCAGCAGAAGGTGAAATAATGAAAAATAAGCACAAATGTGGGTTTCTGGAGTCAGTCTGGGTTCCTGGGGGTGGGTTGGGAAATGGAGGGTGTTGTAGATGTAACACAACAAATTCAGTGAAAATATATGAAATTGGTAGTGTCCATTGGGTAATGGTCAAGTTAGGAAAGTGAACGTTCTGGGGACCGGAAGATCATTTGGAACTGGATCTGGCTTGACTTAATATGCTCTTTACTCAATATTCCTTTGAGAGAGAATAGAGGTGAGAAAGTCTAATATATCCAACAATGACAAAGTGGATTAAGTTAAAATTAGGCAAAAATACACTTGACCTCAGTTATCAAGTTTCTGCATGGGTGTTGTGAATATTTATTGCTTTTGATTTAATTTCCTTGGTGTGTGGATCATGTGACAAAGAAAATAAGAGCGGTCAGATTCTTGGGAATATTAACGTCTGGAGCTCAGTAGTCTAAATAGAAATAACTGTAGTTTGGTTGTCAGTATCCAAAAAGCCTAGAAGAGCAGTTGAGGACAGGTGATGGGTTACATGGGATTTTTAGATTATTTTGATGCACATTCTAGATTAGGTGTGGAGTTCAGGAAAAAGATGTTACTGCCACTCTCTAAATTTGATGTGTCCTTATATTCTTTTTCTGGTGTGTGTGCTTTAAAAAAATCTAAACGTAGTTCATGGATTGATCTTCTGGATTCACACACATACAGTCATTACCACATTTCCAGGAGTCACAAGTTAAGAGATCAGTGAATAACCTCATTATCTGATTGTAGTAAAAAAAGAAGTCAAAAGCAAGATGAGTTTTAAAGATTTTAATACATTTTCCTGAGTTACATATCACTAGCAACATTGGAACTGTAGTTGTTTGGTGGGAAGGTTTCACAGAGAATTTTCAAATGATGTTCAGCAGCTGTCAAATACTTTATCAGAGTTGTCACTACATTTATAAATTGATTGGGACATTCTAAGTTTATAAATAAGTAGAATTAATGTTTGATAATTTAATGTTACACGTGGGTTTTTGTAGGTGTGAAACGTGTGGTACAGAAGAAGCAAAGTACAGATGTCCACGTTGTATGCGGTACTCCTGCAGGTATACATGTAACTTCCTACCTTTTAACCTGTATGTGTACCTTTCTTACCCTAAAATATAAGAGTGCTTCCCCTTTGTCTCCTCAGTTTGCCCTGTGTAAAGAAACACAAAACAGAACTGACATGTAATGGAGTTCGAGATAAAACCGCATACATTTCAATACAACAGTTTACTGAAATGAATCTCCTAAGTGGTAAGCTACTTCATGCATAGCAAATTGATGCTCCCTGACCATTGATATATGTCATTTATTTATTCTTCTGTTTTGAAATTTTTAGATTATCGTTTTTTGGAAGATGTGGCAAGAACAGCGGACCATATTTCTAGAGATGCTTTTTTGAAAAGACCAATAAGCAATAAACATGTAAGACTTTTTTAAATTCCTTCCAGTTAGAAGTCCTTCCAATCAATTAGATTCTTTTTTTTTTTTTTTTTTTTTTTTTTGACTTACCAAATATATTAAGTGGCTACTATGATGTAGGGCTATTCTGATTACATAAGGATGTGACTGTGACCAAAGTAAAGTCCTTCCCCTTGTGGAATTATATTTAGTGGGAGATACAGGAGATGAGTAGAGGAACAAATATAATTTCAGATACAGTTAAGTTCATATAGAAAATAAAGAAGGCTCAAGAGATGAAAGAGAGAATGAAAATGGTCTTTGGGGAAGAGATTGTCAGGGTACCATTTTCAATACAGCGGTCAGGAGAAGCTTCTCTAAGAGATGATATGTAAGCAGCGATTTGAATGATGAGAAAGAGGCTGTCATGTGAACATTTGGAGGAAGATTATTCCAATTAGAGGCAAAAGTAAAAGGAAAGACCTGAGTCAGAAACAAGGATGTTGTATTTGAGGAATTAAAAGATGGGCAGGGTGATTGAAGCATAGTGAGTGAGAAAGAGAGTATTAAACATGAAGTTAGAGAAACTGGTGAGGAGTTGGGTGCAGAGACTCATTCCTGTAATCCAAATGCTTTGGGAGGCTGAGGCTGGAGCATTGCTTGAGCCCAGAAGTTCACGACCAGCCTGGACAATATGGTGAAAAACCCGTCTCTGTAAAAAAGTACAAAAATTAGCCAGGCATGGTGGCGTACCCCTAGCAACTTGGGAAGCTGAAGTGGGAGGATCACCTGAGCCCAGGAATATCAAGGCTGCAGTGAGCTGTGATTGCACCACTGCACCCCCGCCTGGGCAGCAGAGTGAAACTCTGTCTCAAAGGAAAAAGAAAGAAAAAGAAACTGGTGAGGGCTTCTAATTCTAAGTGCAAATGGAAACCATGGAAGGATTTTAAACATAAATTTGCCTTTTGAAAACCACTCTTGCTGCTGTGTGGACTTCAGGGAGGCAAGAGTGGAAGATTGGAAGCAGGGAGACCATTTATGCAGCTCTTCCTATGATCCTTGTGAGATAATAGTGGCTGTTAGAATTATTGAGAGGGGATTAGATTCTGATTTTGAAGGAAAAGCTAAGACTTGCTATTGTAATACACTTAATTTTCATACTCTTGCATTGCCTTTTTCATTCCTTAAATACTATGCAAAAGTAAAGCTCACATATTTGGAATGTTTGGCAACTGGTGGTGTAAAAATTCATTCATGGTGTGATTAAATCATATCCTGCAATTGTGTTCATTTTAGTACTGGAGTTGCAGAATTTTAATACCTTTTAAACACCTTATTTTATTGGTATTGGCATTTTTTATTGGTATTATATTACATATATCTGAAAGAAAATTATTTATACAGCAACTCTTATTTTTCCTCAAACTTAATTAGGCACAATTAAAATTCTACTTAAACATAAATTACTTTAAAACTTTTTTTTAATTGTAAAATATAGCATGTATTTTTTTTTTTTTTTTAGAAAATCACAGAATGGAAATACACAGTATAATGAATAATTATAAAATGAACATTCATGTAACTACCACCCAAGTCTAGAATTAGAACATTACTGGCTTCCCAGAAGTTCCATGCCACCCTCTTATGCCCTTCCCTGATATTTATATGTGTGACAATGTTTTTCTAGGGCTTATACCTGAGAATAGAATTGCTTTGTTGTGTGGTATGCATATCTTCAGTTTGCCTAGATGTTACCAAAACATTTTCCAAAGTGATATACTAGTTTACACTCTCACCAGTAGTGTATAAATGTACCTATTGTCCTATTCTCACCAATACTTAATTTGGTAAGACTTTAAAAATTTTTGTTAATCTATTGCTATGTAATTTTATTATAGTTTTCAATGTGCAGTTCTCTAATTCCTGATGAGAGTTAGGAAGTTATTCCCTCATAATTATTGCCTAAAAGCTTTATACTATTGCATTTTATACTTATGTCTTTAACTGGAATTGATTTTTGGTATCATGTACAGAGAAGGTCCCATTTAGTTTTTCATATAGATAATCCACTTTTCCCAGCACCATTTACTGGAAAGTTCATCCTTTCCCTACTGCTCTGTAGGACCACCTTTGTTATATATCAGCATGCCTATATGCTTGGGTTATTTTGTGGACTTGTCTTTTCCATTCCATTGACCTACTGGTCTGTCCTGCACCAATACTATGCTCTCTCAATTATTTTAGTTTTTTACTGAAACTTGTTATCTGATTATGCCCTCCCACTTCCTTTTCTCTAGTGTTTGGCTATTCGTTGCTGTTTGCAAGGCAAAATAATTGCAAATCTAAGGAAAGGATAGCCCATAGCCATAGCTGCTGATGGACTTTTTTTCTTTTTTCCTCTATTTCAGTGTAACCATACAAGTTCCCTAGCTTGCTCTAAAATAGTGATTGTTTCTGGTTTACCCTTTTCCTGAAGGTGTAGTAGGAGGATTGATCAATATCATTACTGAAACCAAAGTCCTCTAAGTTACAAAATTACATGTAGTTTCTTCAGACAGTTTCCTACTTATCCAGTGATAGCTGACCCATTCTTTCCCTTGGCTCATGACTTGATTCTGACTATTTACATTGCAAATTCTAGATCCCTATTCATTTAACAAAAAACTTGCATTTATACTTTGCCTTTTCTTTGAGTGATCTTTCTTCTTCCTTGACTTAATAAAAATCTGGTATTACTTCCTTCATAACTCTGGAATTCTCCAGTTTAGCTTAATCAACCCACGTGGTCAATGTAGTACACATGTCAGAGCAAGAATATTGTCATATCCCATTTTGTGCTTCCCACAACAGTGGCTACTTTAAGCTAGGCCTGTACTAGGCAGTGCCATGGCTCTTCCCTTGAGTGAATTGTCTAGTAATAAAATCAGGGATACATACAACTAACTGGTAAAACCATCCGTAAAAGCAATCAAGAATTGTGTAGGTAGCCCCTATGATTGCCAAATGACCTGTTTGTTTGTTTATTTGTTTTAATCTCCATTAAATTATTCTTTGGCTCATAGCACATATGGTTAAAATCACAAGCTCTGGAATTAGACCTGGGTTGAATACAGGTTCTTTCTGGGATAGCTGTATGATGTTGGTATCTCGCTAATTCTTATTGCTAAAATGGAGATGATAATACCTATTCTGATAGTATCATTGTGAAGATTACATGACATTACTTCTTAGAGCTGTTGTAACACTTAAGTTTTCAGTAAATCTTAACTATTATTGAACAATTGTTTTACTCACTTTTTAAATTTAAAGCATTTAAAAATTAATTTGTCTGTTTGGTTTTGGTTGATAGATGTACTTTATGAAAAATCGTGCCCGAAGGCAAGGTATTAACTTAAAACTTCTACCCAATGGATTCACCAAGAGGAAGGAGAATTCAACATTTTTTGATAAGAAGTAAGTTTCTAACTTTTTAGTATATCAGGTGTTCTGATTTGATCAGGATCACCGTTTAAGGTTTGGTTGCTATAGAGCGTTGCTACCCCAAGTGTGATTCTGTAAACTGTTGTTGGTCCATGACAAGATAACTTGTGTGTCATGTAACTCTTAATAAAAATTTGGGTTTGCAGAGTGTGTGTGTGTGTGTGTCTGTGTGCATGTTTCTTCATATCATTTGAGAAGCTTCTCAAACATTAATGTGTCTTTCAGTGACCTACGCATCTTGTTAAATATGCTTGTTGTGATTTTTCAGTAGGCCTGGGTTGAAGTTTGGTATTGTGCATTTCTAACAAACTCCTGAGTGATGCTGATTGTTTGAGAAACATATTTTGAGTAGCAGCACCCTAGAACACTCTCATACTTTAGAAATAAACTGTCTCTTTGAGACCTAAGATGCCAAGAAAGTATTTCAGGGGCTTCCAGGACAAAACAGCAAGTAAAAGCAGGACTCCTGTATGTTTTAATCAAGGCAGCTCTGCTTTTATATTCTTTCTGCATTGGGTTTCTGAATAAGATTTCATTTAAAAGCTGTCAATGGAGAAGAAGGGGACTTTGAATTCTTTTGAGTATAGACAATGTAACAGATTAGTTTGCTGCTGTCTGAAAAATGTTGAGTTGAAAAGGCCCCAAGAATACAGAGGAGAATAGGATCCCAAAGTACTTTAAGTAGCCAACTAAATTATTAGATAATACCTTTCAGAAGGAAGTCAAGATTTTTTATTTAGAATTTTTAAAAACCTGAGTGAGTCCCTCCTTTTTCAGCCTCTTAGTAACCGTGGGCCCTTGAACAAATCACCTTACTTTCCCTGGGCCTCAGCTGTATGATGTGGGGAGTTGGGCCAAGTAAACTCTAAGGTGCCTTTCCAGTTGTACTCTTCCATAAATTGAAAAGACAAAGCCATCAGAATTATCATTATTCTGGTAAAACTTCTACTTTTTATGTTAACATAATTAGAAGATGACATTGTCCATTTATTATGTAAAAGACATAAATACTTGTAAAAATGGTTTTTCATTTTTTCTGGTTGTCTTCCAAAAGTAAAGTAATGCTGACGCAGGTGGATCAGGCCAGGAGTTTGAGACCAGCCTGGGCAACATGGTGAAACCTCATCTTTACTGAAAATAGAAAAACTAGCTAGGTGCAGTGGCACCCACTTGTGGTCCCAGCTACTCTAGAGGCTGAAGTGGGAGGATCAGTTGAGCACAGGAGGCAGAGGTTGCAGTGAGCTGATATCATGCCATTGCACTCCAGTTGGGTGACAGAATGAGACCCTGTCTTAAAAAAAGAAGTATTGCCTTGCATTTATCAAGTGTGAGATGATTCCTTTGTGCATTTTGAAACTGACGTATGTAGAAATTGCCGTAATTTGAAGTTTATGGTAACTGGTTAGTGCCTTCTCAAATACAAAATGTGTTCCTGTTTTTTGAAAGAAACTGTTCAGAATGATTGTAATCAGAGATTAGTTCTCAGTAATGAAAAGCAGATGGCCTCAAGTATAACATTTTTGTGTCTCTAGATACATGAATGTATGTGGGAAGTTTTTACCAAGAATATTACACAGTATATTTTCCAGGTTTAGTATATTTTTGGTTGTTTTGAAACTCCCTAGGTCTCTGAAATGGCAAATCAGATTCTTCTTGCATTAGTCTTTTGCTCATAATATAGAGATTTGGGATTGGTTTTCTTACATTTATAGTGTTTCCCAGGAGGAGGTTAGCAACATAGTATGTAATAATAGGCTTAGAATCCATTTCTTAGTCTTTCACCATCTGCAAAATGGAGCTCATGATAGCTACCCTGTAGTTATGGCCTTTTAGCGTATTAATTCACATAGGCAGTAACTGGCATGTGGGAAGGAATCAGTTCATAGTAGGTATTACATAAATAATACATCTGTATCATTAAACAGTTTAAAGGAAGGATTCCACCTGTAATTCCACTAACTAGAGGTGAGCACTAATAAAAGTTTGTAATGTTTCCTTCTAATCATGTTTTCTCTTTTGTTCATCTAAAAAAGTAAAACACAATATAAAATACTTAAATAAAACTACATAAAGTGACATGACTCTGCCCAGGTTAAACATTAATTTTTTATTGAGAAATACACATCATTTTTTCCTGCAGCTAGATTTTCCATATAGAAGTACTTTGTGAACCTCTTTTCTTGCTAATGCAAATCTACACCTCATTATTTTTAAGCAGGATATTCCACCTTTGACTATATCCTATTTAATTATTCCCATATTCATGAACATTTTATGTCTGTTTTTAATTATTATAAATAACACTGTACTAAACAGCCTTGAACAAATTGTTTTGTGTGTTTACCTGACTTTCTGTAGGATCAATTCCTAGAAAGCATAATTACTGGATTAAAGAGTACAATGTATTTAAACTTTTGAGAGAAACTCTACTTTGTCTCCATAAAACATTACCACTTTGTACTTTCATCAAAAAAGTATGAGTGCTTGTTTTAGTTATACCTTAACTTTAGTTTAATATTATCAAACTTTTTTGTGGGCAGCTTTATTAGAGAGGTTGAGCTCTTGGATTTTTAATTTCTTGTTGAGACATTGCCAGATGTCCACTGCAGGAGGCAGAATCACTGCCATTTGAGAACCCCTGATTTAGATGAATACAGAAGACATACTTATTGAATGTATAGTTCTAATCTTTTCTTGGTCTAGATAATTAATGTAGATAGAATCAGGATTCTGGTGTCTTATATTTTACCTTTAAGAGGAAAAAATGAAAAAAAGACATTTAGAGGTACCTTGTTTGAGATACTTACGTCTTACCAGCTATGCACATGAAAATAAGCAAGGTTTTAGATGATTGCAATGGTATTTGCTGGAAAGAGGGAAGAAAGGAAATGAAATTTTTTCAAAGAATTCTATTCAGCTCCCATGTCCCCAGTATTCTAAGAGACTAGTTTTCAATACTTTTTTCCTATTAACTTTCAAAAGTTGGTTATAGCTTTGACTCAGATAAATGTAGATTTGCATGTTTCCTCTACTGTTTGATGTACATTAGGTGACCTAGGGCAAGATTTGACTTACCAGGTTATTAAGAGGATTAAATGAAATATTAATAACTAAAGTAGTACTTGGCAGATAGTAAATAATATACAGTGACATTAAAGATTTACATTCCCTTCACTGATATCCTTAGGAATATGCCACATTTACTGTGTATTCCATTCATCCCTCATAGGTCTGGGACAACACTGTGTAATCAGATAGTACTATTTGTACAGCGAAACCTATGAATGTTTACCTTATAGTGGGTAAATAATGACTGTAGACCAACTCAGGTTTTGCCGCTGAAGGAGTTAAAAATCTTTCAGTTTTGGAGATTTTGGAATTGTTGATATGAGAAGTTGGTCTTGTACTAAGACTATTATTAATACTCCCTAGTTATTAAATTGATTGCTTGTTTAAGCAACTTGAGCTGCAATATAGTCAAAATCTCAAGTTCATGTTGCTTAAAATAAATGTTTTAACTTTTGAGGAATCTGAAGACTTTTGTACTGTTTTTGTAACTTTTCTATAAAGTCTATATTTATTTAAAAAAAAAAAGTTTTAAATTTAAAAGCCCACATATGAAGTGTGATGAATGTGCCATTGTACCTGAATTACTCTGTAGAACTGTCAGCAGGTGATTGTAACAGCTGGCTGGAATAGGTTCATTCTAATCCACACACGCTTTATGGCAGGCATTTTCACCAGTATGACTGAATCTCCTAAAATTATATGTGAAATTATGTGAATTTTTCTAAGACTAATAACTGTAATTTTCACTGAATAGTCAAAGTGAGATGAAGTCAGAAATGTATGCAATGGGGATGAATTTTAGAGGACTAGTGAATTTGTAGGAGTATCATAGTAGATAGCTGTAATCAATAAAGTTAAGTTCAGGGAGGCTTATATAAGTTGATCCAAAGCAAGGTTGACATTCTCTGTTAAAAATAGAGGAGCTTGATAAGGAAAATGTTGGCTCTCCTGCTTATTTTGGAGCAGATCCCAAACTACTTAAAATAGTGGCTTTTTCAGAGGTAATTCCTTTACCACAACTCTTTGTAGGGTCTATAACTTTATGTTCACTTTCACCCAGAGCTACTCAAATCTGTTGAAAGAAATATGAAAGATCTATATGAAGAAAATGTAAATTCTCCTGAATAACTTAAAAGATGTGAATAAATGGAAAAAAGTGCCATGTTCTTAAAAAGCTCAATATTGTTTAGTGATCTTTTAAGTCTGATGTGATCCTAATCAGAATATCAATGAGATTTTGTTTGTTATTTATTTATTAAGAAGATAGTTCATAAATAACTGAAGTTTATTTTGGAGAATAACATGGCAGAGGTGCCTGGAAAAATCTGTAAAAAGAAAAATTATGAGGCTGGACTCATCAAAATTTATGAAGTTATAGTAGTTTTATGGTATTGGCCTAGAAATCTGTTACTAGATCATAGAAAATAAACCGTATATTTGATTCTCTGGTAGATGATCAAGGTAACATTTCAAATTAATACAAATAATTACTTATTTAATAAATAGAGTTGGAACAGCTTGCATTTGAGAGGAAATGTTGAATCTTTTACTAAATAATATTCAGGTGGATCAGAATCTTAAAATGAAATAAAAATACTGGAGTATTTTCATAATCTTGAAGAGAAGAAACATCCCACCCATAAGCCAAAAAGAAAAGAATAACTAAATTTACATGGCAAAAGAAGACCATAATAAAGTGAAAAGACTGGACCAAAAAAGTCTTTAACATATATGTCACAGAAGGCTTATGTATTAGTAAGAAAAAAAGACCAGCAACTAATTAGGAGAGGGGGCAGAGGATAAGAATAGATGGTCGTAGAAAGATACATATACATGCATAGTATTTAGCTGGTAAACATATTAATAATATCTAATGTAAGGAAGGTATGGGTTAACCAGGCCAT